GCTCTACTATTCTTTTTATTTATACATGTATAAATCTACTTGGATCTTATTACATAAGCTCCATAAATTAAAATCTAAAAGAATTTCTAGATTTATATAGTTTTAGCTACAAAGTTATCATCAATCTTATCAGTAGATTTTCAAGTTTTAGAATGGGAATTTGGGGGGAAACATATAGCTAAATAACAAGCTAAGAGGAGTAATGCTATGGGTTTATGATGATTTCAAATGTGCTAAACTGTTATGCAAATAAACTTACTTTAGACATTCCTAGATTTAAGAAACCACATTTGCTGTGATACTAAGGTTTCTGTACATTCCTTGGCAAATATTGTTTGTATTTGTTTGTATTTAAATTATACTGTTGTATAATTTAAAAGTTATTGGAAAGCATATGAAATTATAAAATTCCCATGAATGAAAAAGATGTACAAATCCATCTAGACTTTATAAAACATCAATCTTTAAGAGCACTTGAAAGTTCATTTTTATTGCTTATTCATGCTTGTACATGGCATACTATGTAATTTTTTTTAATTTCCAAGAATAATGTTTTGCTTTTAAGAGTTACCAAAATAGGACTGAAATTCACACAAATGCTCAAGCAGAGGATAAACAATCACAACAGCTTTCTCTTCAAAACCTAATAAACTGGAAAGAAATAATTAAAGCATCTTTAAAAGGAAGACCTAGGAAAGAATAATTACAATTTTTTAGTTTAAAATAAAGTCAACAAAGATGCATGACAAACCATGAGGTCAAAAAATGTACGATCATCACATCTAACTTCGCATCTAATATTATAACTAATAAACATTAGATCATCACATCTAATAACTGCCATGTTGTCTTTCCCATAACATTTTTACGTTTTATAAATTTAAATATTCTAATGTAAATAATTCTGAGGTTTGTAAAATGGTTATTATTTTAAGCACATAACTATGAATCAAGGACTCAGATGTTCCTCTATCTCTGAGTCTTTCAAATTAGTAACTTGGATCTAGAAATTCAGTTCTTATAGGTTAACAATATCCTATACAGAATCTTCTTTTTTGTTTGTTTCTAAGTGTTTTTTTCCACAAGTTTATACATCTCAATTATGAAGATGTCACAAAAATAGCCTATGACTCAAATATAATGGAGGATGTTAAACATTTCATATATTGTTACATTTTAAATGGTGCAATATAATAAATATTTTACTGAATAAATGCCACATGACATCTAACCACTACTGTGATAAAAACATTTTTCTGCCTTTTTCCCTTCTAAGATATTTGTGTCTTTTAAACAAGAAAGATAGTCATTCCCAAATTTGCATTTTTCTCCCAATTTCATTTTTGTGTTGTTATTAAAAAATACAACTCTTACATGCAAATGAACACTTCAAAAGTTAATAAGGAAATGTAATTAAAATTAATATATGCTGAAATTATTCCTAAGAATAAAATATCACCACACTGACTAAATTGGTCAATAGGTCCACTGTTTACTGCTTGACAATTGTTAAGAGACACAATACAGGAGCAAACAATCCTTTCCCTAACATCAACCAACTTCAATGGTTACATTGTAATTACCCAAATCTTAGTCCCTGTAAATAAACTACTGTTATTCATAGTCATTAAATGATTTAAATTTTTTAAAATACCTTCCATCTCAGGATAATGTGATAACTGACCTTAATACTCAGATAATATCAAACTGCTTCTGACTTTACCATATCTGAGAAATTACTAAGTCCTGTTGAATTACTTTAAATTTACATTTTAGAATGTTTCAGTTAGTTAGAAATGGATAAATATTAATGCTGCGCTTAAAATGCAGCATTGCTTTTCAGACAGCAATAGCAATATAGTCATGGCCCCAAACTATAAGAGGATCCATTCAAGTTGGATTATTTAAACTTGCAATAAATAGATGTATTTTCTTGGAAAAATATCTATTGTTATAGTAAAACTTGAGTTTCCTTTCTGAAAAGATTGTATGATTATTCGTTTATATTGTTCTTTCCGCAGGAATTTACACACCCCCTGTTTGCATCCTGTTATTCATTTTGAGTTTCCCTTCACTTTGCTAAACAGTTTCCCCAACAGTGGGAGAGTGGGTCTAAGTGTGCCTGAAAACCCTAAACACCACCAGCACGCTCCAGGTCTCCTACTTTGCATATAGCATTTTGCAGTTCCCAGAGGTTACCCCCCAGATTTCATTCTCTACGTACTCTGAAATAGTGTACTGTCACTCCAGACCACTGACATTCTGAAGATGTTGAGATCTTTTTTGTTTCTAACTAATTTATACCCCCTCACCTTCTATGTCTATATTCCTTCCTGTATAGAATAACCTGGGTACTGTATAGGAGATATGCATGCCACTAAAGCCCAAGTGAACACATTTATAGTCTTTCTAAAATTTTGTTATGTTTGGATTTTTCCTTCCAAAGGCAAAGCAAATAATTTTTAAAACTAGTTAAGGGCACAGTCAAGGCCAAACTAGGACCCTACTGTAGACTCTTTAACATGCTTGTTTAAATTCTGATTTCTGTGTTTTTATATAAAATCTATTGAGCATATAAAAAAGGCATGTCCTAGAATGTGCATTTAAACATGCTTTCCAGATATTCTCATGACCATTGAATTTGGAACCAGTAATGTACAGAATCTAAAATTAAAAATAATATAATTGATGAAAGAATAAGATCCTACTGTAGATAATAAGATACTACTGTCAAAAACACGACCACAATAACAAGTAAATTAGCTCATTAATGGAGAGCTGAGAAAATATTTTTTAACAAGAGCTCCACGATGAGCCCTGTTAGGCTATAACATTCTTTAGAAGGTAGACTTGGAATCTCCTTTGAGGCACTGAATAACAGAAGTCAAATCATATATATATGTATATGTACATGTGTGTATATATACATATACATATATAACATACACATTAAACATATGTGTGTGCATGTGTGTAGGTATGTATGTGCTTACATACACACATATATCTAGAGGTGGGAATTATGTTAGAACTTAAATGGCACACTGGTTATACCAAATAACTTTAGTTCTGTTCTACTACACAATCTATACATTTAAAAAATATGTATAGTTTGAGTTCTCGTTATAAAGGAGAAGCAAATGGAAAAGTAAAATGACCTGAGTCAATAAACTATACCAGACTCAAGCTTCTAGACATAAACTCTCCAAGGGTAGGGATGACAGACATCTTCCTGGAATCTACCACACAGTCAGGCATTAAGCACAGCATGGCAATAAGTGCTAAGGAAAAGGACAGAATTCCAAGGAGCTGGCATGGGGGTCAGGTTACAATTTGCAGCAGAGGCTCCCAAACATCAATCTGCAGCTAGCCCCACAACCAGTCTGTGATTCCATAGGTCTACAGGTCCAAGAATGAGCATTTATAATCATTTCACAAGTGATGCTGATGCTGTTTATTGGAGGCAACACATGAAAATCAGAGACCTAGGGAGAAGTCCTGAGTTTGCTATACGAGAGTTCCCAGAAAAAAAGTAGTAATTGAGATACGATCAGAAAAACCAATACACGGAATCCAGAAAGCTGGATTCTAGTTTCAACTCTCTCGTGAAAGACTCTACAGCTGATGAATATACACACACAGATGTGTCACTAAATACTGCGTAAGTCATCCCCAAGATGAATGGTTCGGTAAGATAAAACTGAAAATTCAAAGACAGAGAAAATACAATGTCTACTAGAAAACTTTTAAACAGTTCATAGAATGCTGTCCCATTCTTTCCCTGAAATCACTACCTTCAATCAATATACACTGCCCAGATCATAACTGTTAAAACTACATAACTTTTTTCCAAAAGAACAATCACATATGTAAGCATACAAACCAACAAATAAAAAGATGTTCAGACTAAACACATTAAATCATGCAAACATAAATCTAAAGGAGAATTGTTACACAATATTCTAAATACAAATTACAAATTCCATCTGTAAATATGTTGTCTGGAAACTGCATGGTGACCTAGACAAGCAATATCAGCATCATCTGAGAGCGTCTTAGAAATGCAAAACCTCTGGCCACACCCAAACCGACTGAAGAAGAATCTGCATCTTAACATGATTCCTAGATAATGTGTAAGCACACTGAAATTTTGAGCAGCACTGATACAGGCCACTGAGATTCCACCACAGTCTCTAAAATAACATGACTTTTAAAAAATTTCCTTGAAACATCTATGGTTGACTTATTAATACACAAAAGAGAATTATTTTACATGAAAAAAAGTCACAGAAACATCATTTAAAACAAAAACTTCCTATTTAAAATATTCTACGATGATGAAACACTGTATGATTCAAAAGTAACAAGTATCACCTAGCCACTGAGCTCCAAATTCCAACCTTTACAGCTGAGTAAACTGAGGTGGGGATGCTACCAGGTTTGGTTAAAATAATACAGTTTGTCAGCACCATGGAGAATGAAATTCAATTAATTCCTTTGATTCCAATACTAATGTGTTCTTACCACTGAGGAAAAATGTCTTTAATTATATTTCCTTATTGTAAACATACACTGATATAAAAGTACATATAATTTCAAAAGGAATTAAATGACATAGCCATGAAATCAGAAAATCTAGCAACAACATATCACAATGTTAATATGTGTCTTATTCTAGCCTTCTAAAAAAGAGAAAGACACTTTAAAAAACTGAATTGGAAGAAGAATGGGAAATAGAAATGAACATACATAATTGGAGCACAATTACTAAATATATGACTATCAAAGAATGATACATAAATGTAAGTAGCTGCTCTGTTTGATGAATGGAACCAGAAAACTGATTTTAGGAGTAACCACAAATTTGACTTTGCCACTTAGGTTTTTCCACATAGCAAAAGATAAAACTTTTCACACACATGGCTAATTTTTATACTTATCAACACAGAAACAGCCATATTTTCTAAGTTATTGTAGAAAAATTAAACCTGCTGTCATACCGTCAAAGAAGCTTTTAGCTCTCAGGTAACTGACACTGAGCCTAAGAACTGAAAGTTTGTCCAGCTTATTAATAACATCTTGCGGGAAAGGCAGCAGGCTAGCCAGACGATCCAACTCTGTATTAAGTCGATCTCTATGTCGCTTGGAAGGATTTGACTTGATTCCTTCGGCCGGGATTGGTTTTACTCTGAAAAAATAAACAAAAGCAAAAATATCTATTGCATTATAACATCTCCTTAAATATTTCTGTAATATATCAAACTTTAAAAATTTACTTCAAGTTTACATAAGTCTTGCCCAAATCTTCGTTTCATATCTTAGCTAAGTAAAACAAAAGAAGGGGTAAAATTCTTCCTATTGTTTTATTTTAAAAGCTTATGGGGAAAGAAAAGAACCAAGATACATCATGTAAAGGTACAAATTCCCAATGACGGATGTCATCATATTGTGTACCTAAAATTCTTTTTAAAAAAAAGTTTATGAACTCATCATAGGAAAATGCTAAATACATTATGAAGAAAATGCTTACTTATATTTCACATACATGTAGTAATATGCAATTAAGTCTACTAGAATTTTTTTCTCCCTCAAACACAGCCATTGTGAGATAAAGGAAAATAAATCTATAATACATTATGTGAAAAAAATGCCCCTTTGCTGTCTTCCATAAGAAGCACCTCAGCATAATTTGTGTTGCAAATAAACAGAAAAACCATAAAGTTTACCTTCATCATTTTCAGCTTCCTACATTTAAACACTGTCATCTCATTATTGAAGCCTTCCTAGATCCCTTTCACCACCTGATAAAGATCCCCTTGCCATCTTGATCTGGTCCCCAGATGTTAAAACAAGAACAGATTTGGTTTTATTGATATTTGTTGAATGACAGATATCAGAGGTTAACTCTGATTAATGGTAACTTTTGCTTTCCTGATTGAGCAGTGATTCTACCTAATTATTAGCTCTCGTTGTTTGTGTTAGAATGTTCAATTAGAAAGTCCAATGAAACCCCAGAAATTTAACATGATAATCACCTGAGAGAAAAGATACTTATGGGAGAGAGAGGAACATGAGATTCAGAAACGAGAAACTGGGAAACTTCACACAGAGGCCTTAACCAAGATCAGGATCTCACTGCAGAAATCAATCACTTACAGCAAATTTACAAATCATCACACACCCATGCTAAAACATAAAGAAGAAATTGAAAGACCAAGGCAATTTTAAGACTATGACTCTACACCTTTCTAGTGCATTCTTACAACAAAGACATTTGTGATAAGCCAAATAGAATTTTATTGTCATATAAAGTAGAAATTGGCTTAGGTACAATGCTAGTAATTTGCTTTGATCAAAACACTTCCAGATAATTTATATTTTCAATGATATTTGTAGAGAAAAAATATTTTGTATAAAAAGATAAAGTATATATGCAATTTCAGGATGTTTTTACACTGTCCCTAAGCAAGTGATTTCTTTAGCATTTACCTATTTTTCCTGATTACAGTTTTTCTGTATTACAGTTCATTTTATTTCTGCTTTTAAAAGGATAACAAGTTGGTAAAGTGGTATATAGATAAAAGTCAATACTTTTTCCACATTATTTGTATAATTGCATATTAAACAAAAATTGGTGACTTTCCCTAGCTAGTTTCCCCTAACTATACAGTACTGCATTTATTATCAAATTTGTCACACCTAATTACTGCATTTCTCTAATTAACCAACTGAATTTCAACATTTACTTATAATATTTGTCTACCTTTCTGAATAATTGTCTACTTGTTAATTACTAACTTGTTTCAAAATACTTATTTGTACCTATCATATCCTGCACAGCCCAGGAAAACACTCTTTTACCACATATCCAACACGCACTGTGAGTGCTAAGTAGGAGCGACTGCTTGATACAAGATTTTACAGAAAGAGTAGCATTTGGGAGGGATCTCAAAAGATGAACAGGATTTTGTGAGGAAGGAAAACTATGGCAGAGTGAAATGTGAGAGGGCTCCTCGCTGCACTGTGATGCCCAGAGTGAAAGAGAGAAGGGGGAAGAAGGTTGTTGCCAAATTCTTTCAACAAACACTCAACACCTATGACGTGCCAGGTGCAGAACACTGAGTAGTGAGCAAAACATATAAAAGCGACTGTTCTCATGGAGCTTACCTTCCAGTTGGAGAATAGATGATAAACTTTTCCAGCTGGTGAGTGCTGAGAAAAATAAAGCAAGGAACTAAGAAGTGATGGAGAATCTGGTTTTGATAGCCAAGGAAAGTGTCTGGTGTAATGTTTCAGCACAGACACATACACAATGCAGAGGGTGTCGTGTGGGTATCATGAAGAAGTGCTCAAGATGGAGGGAACAGTGAGTTTCCTCAAAGTCATGGTAGAAAACTGGACTTTGATACCTGGGAGTCATCGTAAGCTTTGAGTTGGAGTGGATCCTTCCCATGTTTTGCCAAATTGACTCTGGTGATAAAGACCATGAGAAGCAGAGGAGGGCGTGATAAAGTGAGGATTGTACCTGAGGAACTTCTTTCTGAAACATAAACCTATAGCATTCCTCTAACTAAACCTTTCAGTAGCTCTGAACTGTCCATATTTCCTAGTTTAGCACACAAAACCCTTCATGATTTTTCTGGCCTCTATTCAACCCTCTGGCTTCATTTCTTCCAGCTAAAACCTCTCCTCATCCATTATACCTCAGCTAAGAAACTTCTTACAGTTGTTAACATGTATGCCCTTAAAGTCCCTGCTCACGACTTTCACAGTTCTCTGTCCTACCTCCCAAGAGATTAGCTACTCCGCTCCAGGAATCTTCTGTATCTTACATATAAATGTCTTGCACAACCATTCCACTAAGGAATATTCTGCACAAGTAACTTCACATAAAGTGAAACTATATTCACAATCCAGTCCTGAACTCTTGGTCGTGTCCAGTAATGATTATGAAACACTGGAGAATAGATAGTAATACAGTGAAGCAAGACAAGGTGATGTGACAGGGAGAAATAACAGCACTTACAGGTACTTCTCTCTAGGTGGTACTGCTGCCTAACTTGTGCTGACTCTTTATAGTATTCAACCTTGTGTGGTATTCTCAGGCTGTTTCTTTACACAATGCAGAACTGTCTATATTTCCAAGGTATTCCTGTGCACCTTATTAAATATTCAGCAATAAGATCAAATTTCTAAAAGTATGAAGTACCCTAATTGTATATACTTGTCACTCTTATTGCTATACATATGTCCATTTTGATATCTTTAGAGCTCAGCATAGTACTTGATACAACTGGACTCTCAAATGTATGCCAGGCAGAAGGGTTCAGAGAAGAAATAAATGATTAGAGCCTGACAAAAGGCAGTGGTGGTAAGGACAACAAGAAAGCAGTGGCTTGAGTGGAGACTTAAACCTGACTCAGAAGTTCACTGAACTAAGTGGCCTTGGTACTGAAGGGAGAGGAAAATGTTGAGTGGGGGAAGGCTGCACATGACTCTGAGGTCTCAATCTTAGAAAAATAACTACATTTCCTAATGGGAGGTATGTATAACAAACAAGCAGAAAGTGACCTGGGTGATACAAACCTAGGTATAGGGCTGAGGAGTGGGCAGATGACTGAGTAGTAATTAAGACAGATAAGAACAGAACCAGGTTAGAGTATTTGGAGATCACAGAAAAAGCCAAATGTACTTTCTTGAGGAAATTAACAAAGTGTAAGGAATTATAAGTATGGCCAGGACAATTCACTTCTGCTGTGTGTTCCACTGGATTTGAAACTTTTACAGTTTCAGATTGTTAAACCTAAAGTAATACATTTGTCCACTTTTTCACTGATTTTATGGAAATATACAAATTTTGTAAAAATGTTTCATACATATCTGTATACATGAAAGATGCACAGGATAACCATATAGAAAAAATAATCTTACACCAACCGCACTTAACTTGGATTATGCTAGTGTTTCAACTTTTATATTGTCTTTACACCAAAATATACTGACAATCATTATTTAAATAAGAGGCTGCATTTTAAATATAAATTAACATGTCTGCAGAATTGGATTTGGGAGCTGGGGTGGGGGTGGGGGGTAAAAAAATCTCCTGAAATACACTGTAAGATGTTAATGAGGTAAACAACTTGGTATTTTTTTAAACCTTAACCTTAAAAGTCTTGTCCCAACCTGTAAGTCAGAACTGTTGTGAAATCAAAGCCCTAGCTTCCTGCAAGCCACACTTCTGTTCCTGAAGCACTGCACACTGTAACCACTGGTGGTGACAGGCCCGATGGCATGTCCAATGCCAGTGTGATGCTATTTTTAAAGCTTTTTAAATATCCCAATCTAAAATGTCTATCAGGCTCATCATTTGTGCCTAGTTTTTGAAGCAAAAAGAAAAAAATTAACAATCCAGTTTAATCACAAGTGAGTGTAACTGTAAGTGCTTTATATAATATTTGTTATGAAACTTCAAAATGACATGCAAAGATACAGTTTCAGTAATCCTATGAAGTTAAAGTGATGTTTCTTAACAAGTGATCTCTCAGAGTACTAAGCCTGCTCTATCAGCAGTTTCCTCTGGCCGATTTAATCTACTCCCACTGCTTCAGTCTACCTACCCGTAATTTGCTTATCTTTATTTGCAGTGGCTGTACCTGAATGTCCTCATTCATGTTTTCTAGAACCTGGATCCTCCTTCACATCTACGATGGTGCTACTCCTTGTCCACCAGCTAGAAAATACGAAGTTCAGTATTCCTTAATATAACCTCATAAACTACATGCGATAAGCCCTAACTCAACCCCATTCATTCTCCACTTCCTCCTCAGCTTCAGTGCATACTTATTTACCTCTGAATGAGAATATTTAATGCTTACAATCATAAACTGTGTTCAATGTAATATTACAGAATCGATACATACTACAAATAAAGTCAAATTTTAACATTAGACTGAATGCAAGTGGATATTTTACTTCCCTATATAAGGCAAAAAGAAACCTACAAAAACTTCTGAGAATTCTGGCTGGAAGCCACTTTGAATGAGTAAAAATTCTATTGCCACTGTCCTGTTGCTGCTCTCCAGTTGTGATAGGTTCTTTGCTTTCCCTGTTTGCTATACTTGAGGAAAAAATGAGGTTTAAAAAGCATAATTTCCAACACAACACATTAATTGTAAAAAGCCAGGAAAA